TAAGTGTGAACCATTAGTCTTTGTATTACAGGAAATAGTTAGTGGCTATGTATAGTTCATTTAATTATACTGGGTTCAATTTTGTTTAGTCACTGTATCTTGATTTGTTTTGAAGTTAATTTGCAATTTCTTCTGTAATGTGATTTCAGTTTACTTAATATCAGATATATATAAATATGTGCTACTGCAAATAAATAAAGATTTATTAATGACTTCACAGTAAATTAAACCACAGCCTCTGCTGTAAATTGGCTGTGAATTCAGGTGCTCAATATATGGGTATGCAGAAGATCTACAGTCTTAGAAAGGGAGGCAAGAAGTCAAATGACTTGTTAAATGTATGGATATATGTTGTAGATTGCAACTCTCATTTAATGGAGGGAACCAGATGACAGAGAATCATAGAATTATAGCATGGCATGGGAGATGTGCTCCAAACCCTCTGCTAATCTTCACGGTCCTTGTTTGGACTCTCTCCAACAGCTCCACAGTCTTTTTCATTCTGGTGGCCCCAGATGTGGATGCAGTACTGCAGGCGGGGCATTACAAGAACAGAGTAGAGGGAAATATTCCCTCGAACTGCTAGTCACTGCTCTTTTGATGTAGCCCAGGATGCAGCTGGCCTTCTGGGCTGCAAGTGCATTGATGGCTTGCATCAAACTTTTCGTTCATCAGGGCATAACCTGGGCTTGATCTGGTGAGATAATTGTTGGTAAAGGTGAATGTGCTTTTGGTTCCCATGTGAAGAACCAGTTTTCAGTCCATGACTAGCAAGGTAATGGCAATGGTACTGTCTCAAATGGCAATATATCGATAGCTCTAGATAATAGTAACTGGATGTGCTGTAAGGTTTTCGGATGCAAGCTCTGCACAAGTGGTTTGCAGCGTTAGTAGCATCTGTATTATGTTTGGACTGGACTGATCTTTTGGAATCTTGACCTGTGGGATTGTAAACCAAAACTTAGATATCCAAGAACACATCTGGGTTGCATAGTATTACCACATTTGTATAAGGTAGTGTTCTTAGTTTCTTTTCATTAGTTTGTTTTCTGTTGACTGGAATGAGGAATTTGATACAGGGCTTGTGCTGGCAACAGAATAAGTTCAAGGGACTTCAGTGATGTTTTTCTTCCTGTCCTGGAATTCACATTAGAAGTTGTGATTTTGGTATATAACTAGATAAGGTAAATAACGAATAGAATACAACTAACAAACACTTCTCTGGTTTAATTTATTTGATAAGTGTGCAGATACCACTAGCTATTCGGTCAAATGCAAATTTCATAAAAACAAAAGTAGGGTTATATCTGTATTACTGGATTTCTTAAGATTAATGTTATTTCTTCAAGTAAGTACCTGCCTCTTCCTAGGAAGATTGTTATGCCATTTATAAAGCAGTGAAATGCTTGAAAAGTTTTTTACAGATAAACAATCATTTTCTGAGGAAGGCAAAATAACCTAATGCTTTGTGCTAAAAGAGAGAAATGTTTTGCTGTCTTGCAGCTTACGTATTTTCAGCCTGCGCTAGGTGGAATGAGACACATCTTAAAAATCTGATGAATTCAAATGGTATCCTGGGGTCCATGAGGAGAGGAGTGGCCAGCAGAAACAGGGAGGTGATTGTCCCTCTCTACTCTGCTCTTGTGAGTCCCCATTTGGAGTACTGTATCCAGGTCTGGGGCCCCAGTACAAGAAATACAGGGAGCTGTTGGAGAGGGCCACAAGAGGGAGAGTGGCCAGAAGAGAGCCACAAAGATGATCAGAGGGTTGGAGCACCTCACCTACAAACACAGGCTGAGGGAATTGGGCTTGTTCAGCCTGGAAGAAAGAAGGCTGCAGGGTGACCTCATTGCAACCTTTCTGTACTTGAAGGGAGCCTACAAACAGGAGGGGAATCAACTCTTGAAAGGGTAGATAACAGCAGAACAAGGGGAAATGGTTTTAAGTTGAAGGAGGAAAGATCAGTTTGAATGTCAGGGGAATTTCTTTACTATGGCACGGGGGTTGGAGATTCATGATCCTTGAGGTCCCTTCCAGTCCAGGCCATTCTGTGATTCTGTGAATTCATAAGAAATTGCTTTAAAAATGTGTTTGCTTTACTTCTGTTTACATCTGTAAGATAACAATGTGAAATTAATAGTAATTGGTTCTGAGTATTTGTTGCTAAACATACTAGTGTGTGTAGGGAAATGTTTGGAAATGGGTAACCTTGGGTTAATTAAATCCATCTGGTGGCTGACTAATGACAGGAATACTGTGTCCAGGGAATCATTTAATGCTACAAAATTTGATAATGCACCAGAAGTTTTCTAACAAAGCAGTCTTAGAGTAAACTAGGACTCGCATGTAACTGGAGTGAAAACCAGTCCCGCAGAGCAGCTCATAGAATTGCAAAGGTCTGTTTCAGGCAGAAATGTCCCAGAAGAACTGAGGAACAACATTTTTTGTTCCTTGAGATGTAAAATTGTGGCTGGGACGTGATGTGAAACTTTTTTTTGAGTTTGTGCTTCAAGGAGTTGACTTTTATGGGACTAATTTAAATGAATGTTTCCTAGCTCGCTAAAATCCAGGAACAAATATCTTCATTAGGAAAGAAGCTATATAGGGTGAAAACAGCTTCCAGAGGCACTGTGGTAAAAAGTGAAGAAAGGCAGAAATGTAATTTGTGTCAGCTGGCAAGATATCTGATCCTATGTAGATCAATGCCTGAAGATACTGCTGTTGACGGTGTTTTAAAGCAGCAGCTGTGACTGTTCTTTTTCTGTTTCAGTGCTCTAACTACATGTAATATACAGAAGAAAAAGAAGACTTCGTACTAACGCCTTCATGCATTTATACTTTATCTTCATCATCTGTATTGTTGACTGATTTTGTATTGATTTTGTAGCTGTAAGTTAGCTTTTTTGTTACTTGCCAGTTCAAAATTTCTGGGAAAAAAACAGCAACAACAACAAATGCAGTTTGTTGTTACTGAGTTAATTATTTGATTAATTTGCATTTAATGTTTTCTTGCACTTACACAGAACATGGTTTAGTGGTGGGGGAAGGAACTTCTGAAGTTTGAGGAGACCTGAATGCTTTTAAAGCAAGCCAACCACAATAACATCAGATAAAGAATAGTTTGTTACATATTGATCTGACAGATGGGCAAAACAAAACCGAGAGATTAACATCATTCTGCAGTTTAATTTTTAAAGCATGCAAAAACAGTGACTTAATAGAATTGAATATGGAGAATGAGTTTGTTTGCTCTACATGTGAGGAACTTGCCTAAGCTTCCTTTGTAGCGAGTACAACAAAATAGCACTAGGAAGTGATTTATCTCAGCTTAAAGCAGACATCTAAAATAGGTCAGATGAATCACGCTTTGAAATGTCTGGTTTTCTCCTCTGAGTATGGAGTGAGTTTAAAGTGACCATCTCAGATGTGTACATCCAGAGTTGGATTAGATGGATACCTTCCAGGCTGTCACGTTTTACAAAGCAGTGGATAATTACTGCTTTTTGTAGAGGCTGAAGGCAACTGTTTAAGTAATACATTTCTAAAGGGTGTTTTTCTTACAGCTGTGGCAGCTTAAGTGTAGAAATTTGATGTATTCTTAATGAAGTGCGTCATGTGTTAGGACTTTGAAAATGTGCCCTGAAATATAAATCTACTCAATGCATTGCATATTTCAACCTTGTGAGTGTTGGTGTGCAGCAGGTATGACCATGCACCCACATCCACATGGGCACTGCAAAAACCGATTGAGAGCTGAATGCTGTGAATTAGCTGTACGGACAATTGTGTTCCCTGGAGACCTTAGCTTTGAGAGGACACAATACATAAATGAGTTTGAAAATACAAATTGACCTTATTTACAGTGTTTTCTGTCAAGCGATGCAGCTTATTAAACATTCTGACAACATCAAAAAGGAATCCTTTTCTTTTTCCTGTAATCTTCATCAAGTCTGTTTCTCCTAATAAACATTGTAGTGTAAGTTGACAACCGATAGTGACTTCAGAGCGGATGAATTAGCAGATGTATATTGTGTGAAACTGCACATAGTTGCACAGTAGCTATGGTTACCAGGTTAAAGAAATTACAGTCAGTTTTGAGTTGCCTAAAAGTGAAGTGCTGGGATACTTACATAGTTATCATGGACTTGTATGTGTAACAAAACTCCAAATATGCTCTATTTCTTGAACTGACATTCTACTTATTCAAATTCTTGTTTTCATGTGGGAACGCAGTATTTTGCTTTTATATCGTTTTAAGAATTGAGTGCCAAGCACATGTCTGTAATGAGGCCAGTTGGTTTCAAAGTTCAAGATTTTGAATGAATGTTGCTAATATTTTGATTTGCTTCTGGACAATGCGAAGTTCAGGCATAATTATTAAGAATCATATAATCATATTAAGAATCACATACTTTTATTTAAATCTAACTTTTAGAATGACTTAGTGGAAGTATTTTTTTTTATTTTTATTTTTGTAATGGATGCTTCATCACTGAAATGGTGCGGGTGAATTCATGCAGGTTGGATGGAATTGGTCACAAAAACATGATACGTTTGCATTGCTCTTGGGCCCATTTCAATGTTTCCAGCATCTGTATTGCTGAGAAACATAAGAATGACTTGAGTCTGTTTCCAAAAGCAGTGCAGGTGTTGAGAGATGTTGAGGAGTTCAAGCCCAGTTGACTCAAATGTAAAGAATGAAAGACTGAATGTTTCTAAAAGTTTCCACAAGGTTAGAAACTCAAGCTACTGTGAGTTATGTTGGAATTCAGGCACTAACACCACCTTTTTTCAGTGCGGTTTACTCTCTTTTAATGAACTAGGTAGAGTGGCACTTCTGCATTTAACTTTAACATAATTCCTGTAATATTGTCTGTATATTATAAGGAATAGAATAAGAAGGAATAGGGTAAGATTTTACAGAACCATGCTCTTTTTTAGCTTACAAATGAATTGGCTGCATGATCTCGCTCAGTCGATCTGCTCACCTTGTTTTCTAGAATAACCAACCATGACAACAGAGTCGGGATCAGATTCTGAGTCCAAGGACAAAGAGCAGGACCAGCAAGAAGCCCCTGCACAGCCAGGGGCAGCAGCAGAGGGCCCGCCACAGCAGCAGCAGGAGCAGCAACAGCTAAGTGAAGAGCACCAAAACACACTTGAGCAGTTCTCAGCTGTGGCAGCACACAGCACGCCAGTGAGGAAAGAACAGGTAGGAAAGCTGTGCACGATTGCTCCTGGGAAACAGTGAGCCTGTTTGGTGTGACGTTATAGATCTTCTTGGTTGGTCTTCTGTGTTTAAACATAATAACCCTCATGCAGGATGTCTGGAAGTTCATGTCTTTCTGCCTTCATTGTGCTGCTTTGGGCTGATCTTACTAAGTGAGAAATGCTTTCCGTCTCACATTTGTGTTATATAGCAAACAGTGCCAACTTTTAAGAAGCTAAAAATGTTTTCAGAGTTCATTTTTTATTTGACACCTGCTGAAAACTGATTTCATGCTTGCTTGTCTGATGTGTGGGCCATGAAGAGTCTGTGGTCTGTTAAGCTTCTTGTAGTTCTGAAATAACTGCTTTATAATTGCTCTAACTTCTCACGTAATAGGTTTTAGAAGAGCTATCACATGATTTTTCCATTTGGTTCATTGTCACACTTATTAAATTTGTGGCGGCTGCTTTCTTCTCCTGTTAACAATTTCCAGTCAATAGGATTAACAGGCATTGTTATTCATCGGTAAATGACACAAAAATTAATGAGGTACCTGCAAATCACATCCCTTAGATCCATAAGGTTATGACTTCCCCTCCCTCCCCCTTTGATGGCATTCACCTTTGAAGAATGGAATAAGCTACTCATGCTCCTCCTCTGTTCTTTACAAAAAAAAAAAAAAAAAAAATCAGGTACTTTGTGAGGTCTTGTTATTTTTCCTTAGAAGGCAGTGCTGGTAGAGCAAGCAGAAGTAAGACATTACTTACCAACACTGTGCATGTTCCACTGAAGCTGCTTGAGGCTGGCTGTGCTCTTAGCTTTTAATTCTTTTTTCTGCAGAAAAAAGAATTTCATGAAACATGATAATGTAATCTTACTGTCTTCCTCCCTTTTTGTCTACTTGAAGAGCAAGAATATATCACGTGTTGAATGCTAATGTTTCTAGAAACTATCATAAATAGATGGGATTCATGCACTGTGCAAGTTTGGTAATCATAGAAACATGGCCAGTGTTGAAAAGGACCACAATGATCACCTAGTTTCAACCCCCCTGCTATGTGCAGGGTCGCCAACCACCAGACCAGGCTCAGAGCCACATCCAGCCTGGCCTTGAATGCCTCCAGGGATGAAGCATCTACAACCCCCTTGGCAATGTGTTCCAGTGTGTCCCTTACCCTCTGTGTGAAAAACTTCCTCCTAATATGTAACCTAACCTCCCTGTCTTGGTTTAAAACCATTCCTCCTTGTCCTATCACTATCCACTATCATAAACAGTCGTACTCCCTACACCGTCCCTTCAAGTACTGGAAGGCCACAATGAGACTCCCTGGAACCTTCTCTTCTCAGAACTAAACAAGCCCAACTCCCTTAACCTTTCATTTTGTACCCAAGTTGTGAAACATCCAAGATCATTACTGCTAAATTCTGTAACTCCAAGGGCTTGATGTGAGGGAGAATTCCATCTTCAAAAGGGGATGATCATACTGTTTCATAGTGAGATATATCAATGTAAGTAAAGATGAAAAGCTTATGCTCAAAAAATACAAACCCTGAAGCAATTTGTGCTGCACTATAATTTAGTCTGTAACACTGAAAATGCTGTAGAAATGTGTGTTGCAGGAGTGAACAGGATTCCAGGAAGAATATAGATATGCTTGCAGAGTTCAGAATAATTCACTGAGTACGTGGGATTTTCACTGGCCACTATTTTTTTTTTTCCTTTTTTTTTTTCCCTAAATAACACAATGTCAGTTTTCTTTAGGAAGAATAGGCTTAATTCAGTCTGAGGGTACCTCAGTGCCCGAACATGTCAGAGTAGTTCATGAGATCTTCTCTAATAGTTCTTGGCATATTTTGTTCTCCAGACAAATGAGAGAAAATCCATTGTATGATTTTAACCTAGACAGATTCTCCTGATCTTAATGTCAGTAGGAGTCTAGCAAACAAAATAATGCCAATAATAGTTTGCTTCTTTAAAATATATTTATAAATAAGCAAATGCCTGCTTTGCTCTTTAGCTACAAAGTATCTTCATGAAGGAAAATAATCAACAATCCATAGTGGTTCAAAGAAGTTGTTTGCATGCTGAAGAGGCTTCTAAAATATAACAGGCTACTGGGTGCCTTTGCTGTTGTGGATTTATCTTTCAAGCAGTTTTCCTATCTTCTTTAAAAAGATTAATTCCATGGATCTGTTGTTTTGTTTCTTGTTGTTTTTAATTTAAGGGGTTTTTTTGTGCTAGGAAGAAGCTTACTCTCACATGAGAAATCTAATGAGCCACTTGCAATGATGGCATAGTTCTTCCAACCATGGGATGACTTTTGCACCTGTAGATGTGCAAATGCATCTTCTGTGGTAAATTTCCTTAAGAAAACACGTAGAAGTCATCAGAATGCCTCTTCCCATTAGTGCTAGGTCCCTAAGAGGAGACATCTTGAGTTTTTCTCATGGTGCTTAAGCCCAACAGCTTGCCAGCTGGCCTCTGTGATTGTAGAGCAGTGGCTTGGCCTCAAGTGTCTTTGGAAGCTGGAGGCACTCTCCCTCATTCTCATGGCCACGGTGAGCATTTAAACCCCAGAAAACAACTAATCTTGTGATGTATGTTGTGCCTTCATCTACTGCCAGCTTTCAAGGCATGCAAGGACCTTGGTGTCTGGACATTCAAGTGCTGGGAGGAGAAAGGAGGAGAAAGTCTCCTCCAGGTCTGCAGATAGACAGGGGAATAGTCAGCTGATGGATTTTTAAAGCGGCTTCTTTGCTCTGCTCCGTATCATCCTTGTTCTGCTTTCTTTTTATCTCCATACTCAGGAATGCCCAGCAGACCTTTGCTCTGTCCTCCCTTGTGTAGGGAAAGGAGGAGCATGGGGCCACAGTTGCATCTTTGCCTTGGCGGGAGTTAGTGCTCTCACTGATTCTAAACGCTCCTTTTCCCTATTCACCTAAATAAAAAGGGAAAGCTTACAGCTTGTTTGGATGAAATCTCTTGGGGAAAGTTCTCTGTGGTTTAGTGACATGCTGTTGTTGCTGGTTTTATCATGCAAGGTTGTTTTGGTCTCAAAGCAGATTAAAGCCTTTCAGTGGATTTGCTCTTCTCTCGTGAAGGCTTATTACATGCAGTGAATGGAAACAGATGAAGGATTAATTTATATTATTTCCAGTGCTGCTTGTTTCTTCTTACACAGAAATCATTCAGAGCCAGGCCTGTTATTTTTTTCTACTGTAGTGAGATAACTGAAACATTTTTTAAATGTATGTTTTTAAAGCTCTAGCTTAGGTATTAGTGCACTTCTGTTGTGATTTTGCTTGGAGGCTATCAGGGGCATAACTGATTTGAAAGGTAATGACTGCTGCATAGTGCTGTTGCTAGGAAGGTTGAAATGCAGTAGAGCTGTTCTGGCTTTCATCTGTTGCAGTGAAAAGGACCATGAGCTGTGCTGCATGGCAGTGACTCTTCAAATGGTCTGACCCACAGATAAGCCCAAGCAAAAGGAACAGTAATTGTTTCTTCTCTACCCTTTCTGCAGCAGAATGTTTGTCTTTCAAATGATCTACTTCTTGCCAGCTTAAAGGACTTATTGAGCATCTGCAGAGAGCACAACTCAGCCTCTCATCTTGTAGTTATCATCCATTAGCCAGCCAGCTGCACATAAAAGATGTTTGGCCTCTTATTTCCATCCTGTTTGCTTAACCCTTCGTTCAGGTGTTTGGGGAGCCCTTCTCTCTCCAAGGCACATCAGAACCCTTCTGCAAGTTCTCGCTGTCATTGACTGGTCAGGCCTCTCATTCAGGGCAGCTTTTCTCATAGACAAAATTAGTGCAGATCTGATGGTCTTTTCCTATTCCATATGACGCCATGAAAATGCTATGTGATTTAGTAGATACAGCATTTTAAGGTTATAATCTGTGGGAATATTGACTTGCTACAATGTTTACTCTTTGTTTAGCATTTTCAGTAGACCAAAAAAAAAAAAAAAAAAGGTCTAAGAAGTTTCAGAGGGATTTTCTAAGTATAAAAGAAGTAGAAGCCTAAATTATTTTCATGCATGTCCCTCCTCCGTGATTATTCTGTACCTTTTGGAGTGAGGAGGAAGGGTTGCAAGTAATACACGGAGTCTTTTCAATGGCAAAAAGTCTACTGTGCATCATGGACCCTCTCATCCAGTCACCATTCTAAAGCTACATCTGCCAGAAGTGGAGTGTGTAATGCATTGCACTGCACGATTGGTTTGTCTCAGTTATCTTTCTTTCTTTTTCTAGCCCACAGACAAAGAACAGGAGTTTGCAGCTGCAAGTGCAAAACAGCTTGAATATCAACAGTTAGAGGACGACAAGCTCTCTCAAAAATCATCATCAAGCAAACTTTCCAAGTCTCCTCTAAAGATTGTCAAGAAACCTAAAAATATGCAGTGCAAAGTGACGCTTCTGGATGGATCTGAATATGCATGTGAAGTAGAGGTAAATTGCTTTTCTCTGTTTTTTTTCATTCTATCTAGAGGAAAATATTTGAAATTAGACTTGCAGGTTAATATTTAAAAAAAAAAAAAAAAGAGTTTAAAACTGAGTTCCCATTTTAAGCAAAAATATGGACGGCCAGATATTTCATCAATGCCATGCACATAGATGTTTCCATTATTTTTCCTGGAGATAGAATACATTGCAGAGATTTTATCTTCAGTGGGGAATAGCAAACAGTCCTTGGAGCAGCCAGGGACTATGGATTAATATTGTGTTAGCATGTGCCACTACAAAATGCAGAAAATGAATTATTGAGGATGCAACTGCAGGTACCTCTACAACACAGCTTACTCTTTGGCACATGGCTAGATCCCTATGAAAAGCTACTTTACATGTCTGTAAGGTTCAGCTACAGTGAAAGGAGTCCTTGCCCAGCCAAGAGATAGGATGTGGTGTTCACTTGCTTTATCCACTGGAGAGAAAAAGTACATACAAAGGGTTTTAGTAGGCTGGGGAGGCTGAGCATCTGTTTCTGAACAAATTTCAGAAAATCATTTAGGAAAATGAAGGTGAAGTTATCATCTTGGGTAATACTAAAGTTCTGTTGCTTTTTCGACAAAAGTCTGGTGCTGCACTATGAGAAACAATGTCACATTTCAGAAAAATGATATCATATTTTTGAAGTACTCTGTAAGTGAGCTTGCTATATTCTCTAACACTGGAAAAAGTATATGTTGGTATATTCAAAGATCTAGCAAACTACAGAAATCAGTAAATTCCCCAAAGTGAATTCCTTAAAAGAAGGGAAAGCGGGAACATGCCAACTGAACATTTATTGTTTCCATTCCTTGTGTTTTACGTGCATAAGTGCATCTTTCAGTGTGGACGGTGTTAGAGATTTGACAGTTGGTAGAGGGAAGTTAGAAGGTTCATCCCTTGTTGTCAGCTTCCATTTTGCAGTTCTACATGTCCTGCTTCTGCCTACTGAAGTCTATAAGGCAGTGTAATTTAGAAGGACTGGAAATTTAGAAATGTCCTTTTGAGCTAGAATACCAGCTCTGTCAGTGAATTTTGTTTTGGAAGTGAGCCAGATATTTATCTCTCCAGAAGCATATTCCCTAGTCAGGGAGTTGGGGATCATTATAGAATCCATCAGTTACTCTATAGAGTGGTTGCAAATGACAAATGCTTTTATATATATTAAATATTCATATCACTTAAAGGAGATTATTGCTCTCAAGTAGAACACAACCTACAGCTTATCAATTATGTGTTCATCCAGTTAATGACCTGACAGCTGAAATAGCACATACTCAGAGATTTAGATGCTTCTGACATGGGTTTGGTTAATTCATTATCCCTTTGCAGTCCATTGTTTTACAGCTCCCTGTTTCCTATTCCGTATTCAATGCTGAGAGTCTTCAACAGCTTCCAATGTTTCTTTCAATCTCTCTCATGCCCAGAACATTGCATATGTGACAGCAGGGTTTTTTGTGTTGTATGAGATATATCTGCAAAGCACAGGATAGTGGAGGTAACTTCAAAGAGGAGGTTAACAGCAGTTCATCTAATGTGTTATTCTTTCAGTGAAAGGATCTGAAGTAAATGCCAGATAAAAGATCTCTCCTGTGGCCCTACAATATTACTTCCAGTGTGTTGTATCTATCCTGACCCAGAAAGTCTTTCATGCAGTAAGTCATTGCAAGCCAAAACCAGGTTAAATAGCTAACCCAACCTGTTAATTTATCCTTTTCCAAAAACATAAAACAGAAGCATTACCATCTGTACTGCCACCACACTTCTCAGCTGGGAGCCTATGGGTAGGATCAGCCAGCTTATTTAAGAACGGTGGTTCCCTTCCAAGGTGCAATGGATACCTAATGGCATTTTATGTGTCTGGGAACAGCTGTGTGCTTTTGGAACAGAAGTGTTTGTTGTACCCTGAAGTTCTTACTAACAGTGTCAAAGTAGAGCAGCAGCCTAATATGGTTCCCTCATGCCCTAAAGCAGCTGGAGATTTCTAATGGGTACTCAGAGGAGCTGGCATAGTCTGCATGGGTGGTACTGGCTGTTTTCCACTGAGATGGCCACCCCTCCTGTAAGCTGTTCTCCTTGCACTGTTCATGGCGCTCTCCCACCTGGCACCAGGACCAGAAATATTTTGTCAAAAGTGGCCAGGTCCATAGCTGGTGCAAAAGCTGCTCAGGCAAAGAGAACGCTAAGGACTTCTTTGTTAAGCAAGCGAGGTCTACATACTGCATTTATCTTTACTTCTTCAAACCAAAAATGTAAGATCATAGAATCATTGAATAATTAAGGTTGGAAAAGACCTATGAGATCATCTAGTCCAACTGTCAACCAACCACCAATATTGCCCACTAAACCATGTCCCTAAGAACTGCCCTTTCCTGAAACATCTCCAGGGAAGAAGATTTAAGACTGCAAACTGAATTCAGATAACCTTAACAAAGGCATTAGTTGAGGTTTTTCTGAAGGTATGTGAAAATAAGCAGAAATAACTTCTCTGAATTTCTCCCACTTTAAGTAGGCGTTTTCAAGTGCTCTACTACATTTACACTATTTCTAGGATTTATTTTTCTCATCTTCCTTCTCTGCCTCATCTCATTTTTCTGTTGTCTAGACTGCTGCATTTTAATTAAAAGACTGAACTGGAACAAGCTGTCATCCTCTCCCTTAGATGTTGCCTAACTTGAAGTGTCTTTTTAAAACAGGTTGGAATTTGCCTTCATGATTTCTACTCTAAACATATAGATGTTATTAATCACTGTGTAAGATCAGAAAGCAATAACAACCTTAACCAAATGAAAGGCAAAATGGTTAGATTTCATTTTCAAGGGCACCACTCTCTGAACTCATTGGTAATTTATACTCTTCCTTCATTCTTCTTCCACTTGGATTTTATGATCACACAGGAAACTAGTAAATGAAAAAAATGTTTCCATAGCAACCTTGCTGTAACAGTGCTGTAGCACTGTGCCAAACAGGTTGAGTTCCTGTATAATTTGGATGCAGTGGAGAATGCTGAAATCTGATGTCTCAAGGAGCATTACTATACTCACTGTTCTTGGTCAATGGAAGTCAGCTGAGGTAGAGGGGATTGTTACAAATACACCTGTTGTGGTTTTTTTTTGTATCCAGTTTTTGCAGACCACTACCCAATTCTGCCCACAGCAGTAGCCATTTCTACACGTCTCTGAAAAACAACCGAGAATACCCTACGTTTTTAGTAATAGGTTTCCCCACATCTTCAGGGGACTTCAGGGTACCATACTTGAATGGGAAAGGTGAGGTATTCTATTTCCATACATTGGAAACCAGGGTTTATAAACTGAACAGGGGCAAACTGGGATGATCTGGTCACTCTCTGCCTTGCACAAGTGTGTGGTAAAACTCCTTGTTGAAGGCAAAATGTGCATGAAGCGAATGGCTTCTCATGGAGCACAGAGTGTTGTGTTTCACATGAATTTTTCTTTTTCCTGAAAAACATGAGTGTATGTGGATGCTTCCTTAAAAATTTAATCATTAAGGATGATTGTTGGACAAGTTGGAAGAACAGGGAATAAGCTCTGCTATCATTGGCAGAACTTAAAAAGTAAAAAAAAATAAATTCCAGTCCTTTTTGGATTCTGTACTTCAACACTGCATGTGTTTCTTCTGGTATTCCACATCTCACTTGTAATACCACGTCTCAAGGATAATTCCTTCTGTGTCTCTGTGTTGTGGTGGCAGAAGGAGCAACCCCGCTGTTCCTTTGCCCCAGGAGGTGTCTCAGCATGGACATATGCTCTGCTTTGCCGTGGACAGTTTAATAATGTTGCCTTTTTACCCATTTTGAGGTAGACGTGAAGGTCAGGAAGGAAATTGCTGTAATAAGATGCACTCTGCTTGCTGAAGGATACAGTTTCAGTTACCCCCTGTGTGGTTTAATTGTTTAATGAATTCCACACAGTCTCTTGCAAACGGCCTTACATGTGAAACTTATTACTGCTTGCAAAAGGGAATTTTTTTAATAAGACTTTTCCTTTTGACCTAGTCACTGCTTATATTTCAGTTAATTTAATATGAAGAGATTTAGGTTAGGTTCGTGTTAGGTTTTTTTTCCTTACCTGGGACGTGTTTCACTGAATGTGACTAGGCTGGGATGCATTGTTGGCATTATACAGGATGTTTTCTGGCCCCAGACCCACTAATTAGAACTGACTTAGATTAGCCAGGGGATTCAGCTAAGATCTATGTTACCTGACACGTGTCAGTAGGAGTCTGAGTATTGCCTGAATATGTTCCAACTGAATAGAGCTAATATACAACTCCTCTGGCTTACGTTCTCAAAATGCTGTGTACTGCTTTTTATAAGTTAAAGTACTTGTCAATTCAGGAAGCACAGGGTTTTGGAAATCGATACCCATATTGTCCACCTCGTAATAATGAACTATGAGTCTGAGCCAAACATAAAAGTGTTTATGCTTGCTTTTAGTGCACTTTAAATTTTTTTAAGGTTTTTCACGGAGGTTAAAGAAATCTTTACATTATTTTTATTTTTTAAGACATTTAATGCTGAACCTAGCATTTTTGAAGTGCCATAAGTTGGAGGATGTTCATGTGGCTCTTCTGAGGCTGGAGCATTTCCTCTTTGCCCAGAGGAGCTCAGCTTCAGTGCCCCAACTGGGAACATCTGGGTTGCACGATACTGAGAGACAAGGTCTGTAAAACCTGGTAGGAAAGCACATCTAGATGGTTAGACAGCTGGATCTCTTGTATTTCCTCCTTTTAATATGCAGATATGTTATAGAGACAGAAGGAAAACCAAATATTAAAAGAAGGTCACCCTTTCAGATGTTGTACCAAGTAAACAGCAAGTTGGGCTTTAAATTTAACCTTTCAACTGAGCAGGGGACATGGCTACAGTGAGAACAAACATCAAAACTTCTAAGAAAAAAATATATAGTACATTTGCTCTCCGCATCCATTTCCTGCATCTA